GACATTTTTAATATAACTCTGATTGTATTCGTCTGAAAGAAGAAAGTCACCTAGGATGGCTTGAGGGTGAGCAAATCATGGGGCGAACTATCCCTTTAAAAATGGATTTGCTTCTTTCAAACACACAACTTTTCACTTCACAAGATGTTAATTGGTGGACTGGAGTGGTGTGGATTACTTGTGGATTATTGTGATGTTTTTATCAGCTGTTTGGACTCTCATTCTGACGGCACCCATTCACTGCAGAGGATCCATTGGTGAGCAAGTGATGTAATGCTATATTTCTCCAAATCTGTTCCCATGGACAAACATACTGATCTGCATTTAGGATGTCCAGAGGATGAGTACATTTTTATAGCACATTTTAATTTTGGGGTGAACTATTCCTTTAACTGCATGAAATTACATATAAATTATGCCTGTGTATATGTAGAATAGTTTTTTATATTTGATATTTGGGTCAATAAATTATTCACTTTTGTCTTGAAAAGTAATAACAGTCTATTAAAAGTAAAAGTAATAAAAGTATATTCAAATTCCTGTTAATGATAATTACTGATTACACTTGTAACCTTAGGGTCATGGCAAATTCATTAGCTAGAAGTAGGTAAGGAGTAAGATTAGTCACTCAGATGGGATTTTACGATTAAGTCATTCTTAGATTTAGTTTAGATGTTTTCTCCGGGCCTTTATCAAATACAAGGGTAGCCAAGTTCGGTCCTAGAGAGTTCAGCTCCAACCCTGAAAAAAAAAACTCACCTGCCTATAGCCTTAGTAATCCTGAAGACATTGATTAGCTTGTTCAGGTGTGTTTGATTAGAGTTGGAGCTGAACTCTGCAGGACTGCGGCTCTCTAGGACCGAACTTGCCTATTTCTGATCTAATATAACATTAGGGCTACAGGTCTCAAACCCTTTTTACCTTCAGTTCCTTTACATCTATGTTTCCAGACCCGTCTGTGTCAAACAGATCGAACGCCTCTTTGATCTCCTGCCTCTGTTCCTCTGTCAGTTCAGGTTTGGGACCTGCTCTCTTCCGCTGGTTCGTAGTGGCACTGGGTTTCCTGAAGCTGGAAGCCTTGGAAATAAAAGCAGACAGAGAGATTCAGCCATGCTTCCACCAGGGGGTGTTAGCATGGGTTTCTTATATGTCTCATAAAAGCTTCTCAATGCACTCGAGGCACCTCCCTCATTTCAATGTTGCACACAGAAAAGTAAAATAAATAAATGTATAAATGAGTAAATATGGAAATAAATTCACATGGGAATAAATAAATGGATGCATTTTAAATGAAAGAATAAAAAATAAAGTTAAAAAGAATACAAGTAAAAAATAAATATAGAAAAGAATAAAATAAAATGTACAAAGTAACACAAAAAATAATTTAATTCAGATGAATGGTATTTGTTTTATCAAGTTATTTATTTTCCTATTATTACATTATTTATTATTTATTATCTTACCGTTTATTGAGTTTTGTTCCAAGTACATAAAAATCAGAAATTCAGAATATGAACTGAACTAAAAATATATATATATATATTCCTGTACTATTTTGCTCCTGCAAGGATAAATAAAGGCTACTTAATTAAATCACGTTTACGTAAGTTATTCACAGGCTAATCTGTATTTGGTGGGAGACTTTAAGAGCTGGATTAGTTTTATAATCAAGTAGATTATTTACAAAACTTCAGTTCAATTAATTAGATTCAAGCAAGCACATTTACTGTAGAGAATAACTCTTTCTATGTTTACCTCATTAAATGAAATGAAAGAAGCGCACTGTTTTTGCCTTTCATCTCAACAAATGAAGCTAATGACTGTCTCTGCTGGTTTCCATAACAATAACGCCAACAAGCTAACAGCTTAGGCTAACAAACATCGTATACACTCCTCTTACGTTTCTGCAAACGTGAATTTATTCGACAAAGTTTTAAAAGTAACTTCATCTTTGCTTACCATCTCGACAGTTTGAGCAGAATCAAACCACAGCTTTGCAGCGTGCGTGGAATGTTAGTAAACAAGAGGAGGAAATGCTGTCGGTTTCCTTGAGCGCGATTGGATGGGCGTGGCTTCTGAGTGATTGACAGCGGATTTATCCAATAGCAGGTGTAGCCTCGCTTTCTAGTACGAATTCTACCAATCAAACATGAGCGGGCGAGGTATGCTATATGTCTTTGACAGTTTGATGCGTAGGGTAGTGCCGTGCGCACGCGCATTTCAGAATATGGACCCACTATGTAAACAATGCGGCTCAGCGGTAAAGGTTTGATTTGGTCGTTGTATACGACAGCGTTAGGATATATGACTCGAATTTGACTTGAAATGTGATCCAAATGATACCCAGACAGATTGAATGCTTTATTTTTCCTGCATAAAAAAGCTCATTTGCTAGTAAGACCGCATAACCTTACCATACAGAAAGATTCTTATAAGTCGGTTTACTAATTTGATCTAATATAGCAGCTTTTGATGCCTTTGTCAACTTCATTTAAGCATTTTTATGCATGTAATCTAAATGCAATAATCTATGTGAAAAGTGTGTGCAGCATCCACATCATCCATCTATTTTATTACATATTAATAGGGGCTTAAAAGACAGATATTATTGATCTTACTGTGCAGACACTGACAGATGAGAACACAAAAACTTGAAGTGAGTTGAGCTTAATAATAACACTTTACAGATGATATTGTAGACGTTTCAAAATCGATAAATGTTGCAACATTAAACCTGTTATTTTCCTGTTTATTACCTGTTTATTTTATTATTAAGAAATAATCTGAATTATATAAAGTGCTATTTAAATGCGACTTGACTATACATTTTCTCAATGTCAGATGTAAAGAGTTCATGTTTGTCAATGGTACTGTATTTCACTGTACAGTATGGTATAAAACCATCAGAAATCAGTTTTTCTTAGCTTTCTTTTTTTGGGGGGCCCATATTTTACATTGGACATCAAGTGGAGACTAAAAAAAAAAGCCAAAATTACAATAGAAAATTTTAAATTTGAAGGTTTCATCATGCTCTCGGCAGCCAATAATTCATCACACAACACAATGTTCAAAAGAAACTTTGAATCCAAGTAACTGGGACAATATCGTCGAGTTTGATTGGAAGATATCGCAGACATTTTCTGCTGACTTTTAAACGTTGATATTTGTTTTGCTATCCTAAATATGTAAGTATATGCATTTTAAAATGTATTGCATTTAGCGTTGTTTTTCCTTCTGCCCCGCAACCTTTTCACAACACACATCTAAATAATGAATAATTAATAATATAATTAAGTGAATTAATAACAACATATGCGTGCTGTTCTGAATATTTACATAACATTTGAGAAAAAATGAAAATGTTAAATAAAAGTAAAATAGAACAGAACATGGAAGTTTGTAATGTATTTTTTTGTCTGTTTTTTTAATACTAAAAATACATGTAAATTATAAATGTACAAATTAAGTCTAATAAAGGATTACAAAAAGAACCAAAAAATTAACAAATTAATACAAAAATAAATTAAGGACTACATTATCTGGGGGGGAATGTAAATTTGTAAATTTACATTTACAAAATCCGCTTATTTATTTTGATTAATTAATTTTCTATATAGTTAATTACATTTTATTATTTGATTTAGCATTGTTTTTTCCTTCTGCCTGCAGTCCAACCCTATCAGGACACACAGCTAAATGACTCTTGTAAATATTAACTAACCAGTATCTCATTATTCCTTATTCACAGATGTCTGGAAGTGCCACTGTCGCTCAGCGCCGCCACATCGGACTCCAACAGTTAGAGGCCATAGCTGCCACCACACGTGGCTTTCTGGGCCCCAACAAACGGCCCAAGTTCATCCAGGATGAAGACGCTGGGGATGCGGTGTTGGTCAGCTCCTGTTCCCGTCTGCTTGAGCATATCGAGCTGGACGGCTCAGTCGGACAACTGCTACAAGAGATGGTACAGGCACAGCAGAAGGTCTTCCACTCTGGGACGGGCGCGCTGATGTTTCTGGCTGGAGCCTGGAGTAGAGTTGCTTTAGAGTGTCTAAACAGAGGAATAACTGTGTTGGATATCAAAACAGCCATGAGGAAAGGACTGGAGTTGTGTTTGGAGGTATGCAAACAATCGGCTGTAAGTGTGGAAGACGTTTCTTGCCAGAAACTAAAGGAGCGCAAACCTACTCCAGCTCTTAAATCTGAAATCCAGGACTCAGAGATGCAGAACATGGATGTTAAACTCTCTCAGAATCTCAGGTTGACACTCAAACACAGCAGACACTTTAATTTACAGACTGAAAACACACAAACAGCTCTGAATGACGTAAGTCGCATAGCGCAAGCCGTCAGCCACGGATGCGACTCCTCCATGCGTTTAGTTTTAAAAGCATGCAAGTTGCAATCCAAAATCGCAGAAGATGCACAAAACAGATCTTTGGATATTCAAAAGCTGGTCACGTGCCTCATTCCAGGCCCGTCTGAGGAGAAATCATGTGTGTTACATGGCTTTGTCACGTTGCTGTCAGTCGAACAGGCCTCTGTGGTTTGGCGCCTTCAAGGTCAGGCGTTAAATATCGCTTTGGTGAACGGCGATTTGTGCGAGAAGTATCTCCACGTGGGTTTCAACAGGCCTGCGAATGTCGTGCACATCACAGATCGTGCTAACATGTCAAGCGTGAGTCTGGAAGAGCGTTGGATTGAGGATGCATTAAGAAAACTGCATGAACTCGGCATAGATGTTGTGCTTGTGAGCGGCAGGGCTGGTGTGAAACTCAAAGACCAGGTTCTCGGGGCAAACGTCCTGGTTGTCGAAGGTGTTAAAAGCAGCGTTTTGAGTGACTTCAGCACACGCACAGGCGCCGTCGCGGTTTCATACGTCACACAGATTGACGAGAACTGCGTGGGACGGGGAGTTACAGTCAGTACATGGAGAGATTTCAGTGGAAAAAATGATTTAGTCGCGGTCAGCATTGTGACTGCAAGCACGTCTCTGGTCACGGCGGTCATAAGCAGCTCTGTATCTGCTAAAGTACAAAGCTTGGAGGATCAATTCTGGAGCTGTGCTCATCGGTTGCACCAAGCGCTCACAGATGGGAAGTTGCTGCATGGCGCAGGAACCACCGAACTCCTTTGCATCCAGCAGCTTCATCAGTCTAAACAGACAGAGATGGAAAACCCACAGGAAAGTGTGGTGCTGGAGCTGATGGCTGAAGCCTGGATGGATTACGTCTCCACTTTGATGCTGAACAGCGGCTCGGTGGCGTCTAAAGCAGAGGCTTGGACGGCTATTGCACATCAGATGAGACTTTATAAAGATGGAGAAGCCATATCACGGGATGCAGATGAGGCTGGTGTGTATGATAACGTGACAGTGAAGTCTGAAGCCTGGAGGAGAGCTCTTGATCTGGTGTTTTTGGTGCTTCAGTCGGACACAGAGATCATTACAGGTGTCAGTGAAGGAGAAAATGTTTACAGTGAGCTCATGTATCTTTGATATCTGAGGCGTAATTACTTTTTCAAAAAGAATTTAAATCTTTTTTATTTTCATTATTATACTCTTTACTCTGAAGATGCTTGAGGTCTTTTCTATACAAGTAGGCTGGAAATGTTTTACGTAAAAATATGCTCCAGTGCATGACGTTATGAGTGCGGTTCTGAAAATCTGCGTAATATTTCATGACCTGAAAAAATGTATGGAAATGTTAAAGTAAAATTTAATAGAACATGGAAGTTTTTTAGTATTTACTATTTGTCTGTTTTATACAAAAATACATGCAAGTTGGAAATGTAGAAATGATTAAGTCTAATATATGATTACAGAAAATGCCTAAAAAAAGAAGTAAATACATAAATTCAGGTCTAAATTGTCTAGGAAAAATTGGGTGATTATTGATTGATTGATTGATTGATTCATTCATTCATTCATTCAATATAGCCTACAGATTTGGAGTTGTATATTATTAAATATTAAATATTTAAATAATATAGTCTCCTCATTGTTTGATAGAAAGGTAACCAGTACAGATGGTAATACCAAGATGTTCTTTTGAAGTACTGAAGTACATTATTTAATATCTAGATATCCTTCAAATCCTCATTTGATTTTCATTTGAACCTTTTTTAGCGTACAATACTGCCGTAAAGTGGCCATAAATGTGCACTGCGTGTAAAGACCATATTAGTGTTTTTTTTTTTAGGTTTTTATTTTGTTGCCAAGGACCCTAAAAAAACTGAAAAAAGGAGTAAATACATAAATTCAGGTCTAAATTGTCTAGGAAAAATTGGGTGATTATTGATTGATTGATTGATTGATTGATTCATTCATTCATTCAATATAGCCTACAGATTTGGAGTTGTATATTATTAAATATTAAATATTTAAATAATATAGTCTCCTCATTGTTTGATAGAAAGGTAACCAGTACAGATGGTAATACCAAGATGTTCTTTTGAAGTACATTGGTATATTATTTAATATCTAGATATCCTTCAAATCCTCATTTGATTTTCATTTGAACCTTTTTTAGCGTACAATACTGCCGTAAAGTGGCCATAAATGTGCACTGCGTGTAAAGACCATATTAGTGTTTTTTTTTTTAGGTTTTTATTTTGTTGCCAAGGACCCTAAAAAAACTGATGATTGCGAGCGCCTGTATAAAATATTGTGATAGTGTGATATTACAAAGGCAACATGTTATTTCCTACGTTAAATAATTGGGTTGTATATTGTAAACGTAACATTTGACTTTTATCTTGAAAATATTTATTTGGATTACGTTTAGAGCATATATCTTTATTTCCCATCTGCTATTAAAGTAATGTATAAATCTGAAAAGAAACATGTTCAACTCAAATCAAATTTATTTGCATAGCACTACAATAAATATCATCCCAAAAAAATGTCTATACTGAATTATATGGAGATTATTTTATTTATGGTGAAAACTAGGTCTGTCAGCTCACAACAGACTGTACAAAGCAGAATGAAACTGATTATATAAATGTTTAAAAACATAATCTTATAATTGCGTTAAACACATTGAATTCATATATTGAAATAACATATTAACATATTTCTTTGTATTTTAATGCTGCGGTGGGACACAAGGTCAACCAAATATACCTACAGAGCACACTTAAAAACAAGCTATATCCTCCTGAGAACCAGAAATAAAAAGCTTTGTGAATTTAGTATTTTTTCATGTCATTACATTGTTTAGAGCATAAGAAAAAAATGGTAAAATAACATTTTTGAAAAATTATATTTTATTCATAAGTTATGCTATGTCCTCTGTAGAGGACACCAGGACTCAGTTTTTCTAAAAAATAAAATGACAAGTATAGACATGAAAAGGAAAAAACAATGGGAATTTTTTTTAAATCACCAATCAATTTTTAGGTTTCAGGATTTTTTTATAACTAACTTTGTTTAAGGATGGTTCTCAACTATTTTATAAAATATATAACACAATGATTTGATATACCATTTTGCTTTATGCAATATGTGTGTAAAAATTCCATAAACTGGTTTTCCCATTAAGCACAATGTTATCTATACACTGTATCTAATTTGCATATTAAAGTGCTGTTGGGAAAGCATGTTGAAAAAAGAAGTGTAATAATGGGAGTGGTAATTGGCCAGATTTTCATAATAATATATAATATTTCATAAGCATATTGCTATGTAATTTGTTTCCTATTCAATTTTTTTGTCTCCCAAAATGTGTAATAAACATGCTTTCAGTCCTGGTGTCCTCTACAGTGGACAAGTATGAAATCAATGTCCTGTTTCATAATATTTATATAACAGGTCATATTTTGATTTGAAACTCCATAACATTTTCCTGAGATGTTGATTTATGACAAACAATTTGAAAATTATTCAGATTTAAATTATCATTACAAAATATTATCATATTTCCATAAGGATGTACAATTTTATGACTAAATTAATGTCAGCCATTTTTAAAGACCAAGGAGAGGGAGTGGTCATGGTGAAACATCCAATCATTTGGTATCTCTGGAAAGCCCTGAATGTTATGGAGCCAGATCGGCCTCAAAAATAACACATTTGCGAAACAAAATTCATAAATGCACAGCACAATTTACATTTACAAAATCCGATTCGTAAATTCAAAACACAATTCATAAATACACAAGTAAAAGCATAAATATTTCTCCAAATGCTCACACAAATGCATCTTACCTAAATACATTTAAAATGTTTACACAAAGATGTATATATCAAGTTCTTGAATTAATTTCCATCACACATTTATGAATGATGTTACATGTATTTATGGATCGTTGAATCTGCATTTGCAAATCTTCACATGTGCGTGGACTGCTTTGAATTTGTGTGTGGTATTTTTGAGACCTTCCTGGCAGGTTAAGATTCATAAATATCTTTTTTTGGAGGATGTTCCGTTCAGCCAATCGCGGTGAGCTTGTAATCCACCAATCAAGACACTCTTTACTGAACAGACTCAAGAAGCTCAACGCTGTGCTTGTACGAAATTGTAATTTACGAATCGGATTTTGTAAATGTAAATTATGCTGTGCATTTATGAATTTTGTTTTGCAAATGTGTTAATTTTGAGGCGGATCTGGCTCCATAGCTTTCGCACAGGACGCGTTTGTAGTCTGCTCCTGATCCGCGGCTGTTTACCACAAACACAACATTTATCCATTATTTTGATTTGAAATCCAAACGTTGTTTCTGAAAATGCTTTTTCAGCATTGTGATTCTCTTTTATCACAGTACAGTAATACAATCTTTCATAGACATATTCAC